TCAGGTTTAGTATAGGGGAGAACGGAGAAAAAAGAGTTTTATTTTTTTTTAAAAACCAATCAAAACTCCCAAACAGTTTCAACAGTTTAGGCTAAAATATCCCAAACTGTTTAAATCGTACCGTTTGGGAGTGTCGTTCGGGATTTTTTAATCTTCCAAACGGTTTTGACCATTTGAGTTTATTATCCCAAACTGTTTAATCCGTTTGGGCTATTTTGACTTGTCCAAACGGTTACAATAATTGTTTGGACTGTTCTCTTTTGTACTAGGGTAATAGGATATGAATGGGTTTTATGGTTCATGAAATTTGATAGAATTAATCGGTGTTAAAAGGCCACTAAACTAAGAGGTATTTAATTGAGCGCGGTAAAAGAATTTGCGGGGGTTCCCCAAAGATAGTAGAAATGAAAAGTTTAGTTGCTAATTACTTATTAATTATATTTTTATGAGTAGGTATGTTGAAAAAGGAAGAAGGATGAAAATTTAAAAACAACACTAAAATAAAAGCCAAAGAAACCGTAAAGTTGCGAAGTTGCAACCTAGGGGCCTTAGGTAGATTACTACTATTAATAAGGGCTAAAAACCGATATTAGTATTTTAATTCCACCTCATTTATCAAGAAGGTATTTTAATTAGATAAACCTAATTTAGGGCATTTTAATTGATTCAACTTACCAACAATGTCATTTTTCTCGTCGGCGACTAGTTTTCCGACTATAGCTCGTCACGTGCGTGACACATGATGACTTAAACTGTTTCTTAGCTGCTGATGTGGCACGGATATGTCCTATTTTGGGTGAATTGAGATTTTTAGAGGGTTAATTCACGCCTTTAAACACTGCCACGTCAGAAAATCCGTGCCACGTCAGCAGCTAAAAACAATTTAGGTCATCACGTGCCACTCACGTGACGAGCTCTCGCCGGAAAATTGGTTGCCGACGAGAAAAAGGACATTGTTGGTAAGTTGAATCAATTAAAATGCCTTAAAACAGATTTGCCTAATTAAAATACATTCTTGATAAATGAGGTGGAATTAAAATAACAATACGAGTATTTAGCCTAATAATAAGTGACATACGCGTGCACTCTTTGACGAGCTATAACACAGGGTGGTTCAATTAAATATTCACACTCTAACTGTTGGCCAAGTTGCCAAAACCCTCCGCTCCACAAAAAAAAAAAACCAACCACGCAGAGCCTCCTCCAAGCACCACCCGATGCCAGCCCACGTCTCCCCCCACCTTCATCACATCTCCTCCTCCCTTCCCCCTCCTTAAATAGCGTCAGCCGAAGCCTCCTCCCAAACCCCCTCTCGCAATCATGAATGGCTGATGAGCAACGCGACGCCTCCCCTCGAGAACAACGACGACGACGTCAGCCCCCTCAACGAGAAAGATCGTCAAGACCAGAGCTCGATGCGAGTGGAGCTTCTCCCTCGCCGCCGCCGTCTCCCCCGCCACCCGCGAGCGTCTCTGACGTCCTCGGCGCCGTCGAGCTCGGCCTCCGCCGCCTCCTCGCAACCGCGGCATTTCTCGAAAATCCGAGTCTACAACCCCAATCCCTCCTCAACCGCCAAGGAGCCACCTCCGAAGACTTCTACATCTGCACGCCGGCGAAGCTCAGCAGCCTCCGCTGGCGCCCCGATTCCGGAACCTCCCCCACCGTCGCCGCTGGCGACTACGACGGGCGTCACAGAGATACGACGTCGGCCGAGAATCCCGTCTCGAGCGCGACGAGCACGGGGGCCGCCCGTGTGGTGCGTTGACTACTCCGCCGCGGGCGACCTCGCCGCCTCTGCCTCCGACACGGCACCGGCCCACATCTGGGACACCGCGCTGCCGGGCGGCGGGCGTCCGTCTCCATAATCTCCTCCTGCAGCGCTCCTGGCGCGCCCGTCTGCAGCGTCGAGTTCGGACAAGTCTGGCAAGATACAAGTCGGGGTAGCCTGCGCGGGATAAGTGCGCGTACATTACGACCTGCGCAACATGAAGCAGCCTGCACTGATATTTTCCGGGCACCAGAAGACGGTCACGTACGTGCGGTTCGCGCGTAACGGGCGGGTAGTCACGTCGAGCGTCGACGGGTGATGTCAACCGCGATGTGGGATGTGTCGAACGGAGAGGAGGTGAGGGCTTACAGAGGGCATAGGAACGCGAGGAGCTTTGTAGGGATGGATGTTTGTAACGGAGGCGGGCTTATCGGATCCGGGTCGGAGAGCAATGAGGTCTTCGTTTACGATTTGAGGTGGGGGGATCCGATATGGGTTCAAGATTTTGGGGAAGAGGATGAGGGAGAGTTTGTGAGTGCAGTTTGTTGGAGGGAGATCGGGGAGAATGAGTGTGCGTTGGTCGCTGGAGGTTCAAATGGGGTAGTTAAAGTATTTGATGGGAGCAGAGTTGTTTGATCTTTCAGAAAAAAAAAATAGATGGGAAGATGATTTTTTTTTTCTTTTTCAGTTTCTAACAGATGAAGAACAGAACAGAAAATAAAAGATTAATTTGTTGAATAAGGAATGATTTCTTACAGTCATATATGCATCTGTTCCATTCTTTCGCCACAGGTATTGGGTGCGTGAACTATGTACGTAGTTCAAATTTCTCACGTAAAGGAATATTTGTTACAGCCGCATGTACATGTGTGCCTCAAGAAGAAATTTTCTAAATAAACTCATTCACATTTTTTTCAAATTGACCACTTGAGTTTTTTTTTACAAAAATCGACCTACTTTCTCGTCACGTCAGTATCGTGACGAGAAAGTGAGTCGATTTTTTTAATCCGGTTCCTAAATAGTCGGGGTTGTTAACCCCGACTATTTAGGGTATAAAATGTTCGGATTTAAGGTTGTAATTGGGGCTCTGCAACCTCCTAAATAGTCGGGGTTGGCAACCCTGACTATTTATGAATCAGATTAAAAAAATCGACCCGGCCACTTTATCGCCACGATGTTGACGTGACGAGAAAGTGGGTCGATTTTTATAAATAAAACTCAATGGGGGTGATTTTAAAAAGAATGTGAATGAGTTTATTTGAGAATAAGCATAAGATACGTGTTCGTATCGGATATGAGTATGTGTCATGCCTGGCCCATTGAATTGAGGGGCTATCCTTAATGCAGGTAGAGAAATCTCAAAAACCGTCGACAGAGTAAATGCGAGAGGGAAGCACAAAGGGCAGGAGTGAGACCACGTCTGCGATGACCCTTTTCATCCCAAATACATGAAAATGCAGTCAGTGGGATGATCTGAGGAAACGCGTGGAACTAACCAAATTGGAAAGAGAGAGGCAAAATTTTCGCCTCAAGTGCTCAAGGGCTGGTCCCAGTAATCCTACTGGATTCGAGTAGCCTAGTTGTGGTTGGAGGAATAATTGACTGATGACTGACAGATTTGCCTTTTTTTGCCTGTTTTTGGTATCTGGTGTCTATATGGAGTTCTTATCCAGTTGTGCCCGTTGTCATCTCGTGGTTCACTTCTTGCTACCAAGTGACTCACAGAGAGAGACAGACAGCGAGGGAGAGAGAGAGCTCTCACAGCATGTACTCAAATGGTCTCTAAGAGAAAGTATCCAGTGGATACGGTCTGCTCAAGGCATAGTTTGTTAAGAGATGAGAGTTTTTGGATCAGTGCAAAATATGAGAAGTTTATGGAGCAGTGCATTGTTCTGAGGGTGTTTCTCCTTTAATTTGGTTCACCATACAAGCAATAGACACCGTCCGTTGGATAGTTTTCCAGTCCATAGAGGAGCAATGGCTGACCGGTCAGAACTGCAAGCTAGAATTTTTGTAAAATGAAGAGATTATGCTTCATTTACTACGTTGTAGGAATTGTCTGGTCAAAAATATACTAATATATTCGGTTCAGTTTTTAAAAAGAAAAAGAAAAAGACAACAGTTACAACATATATCTACGCAAATTTAAGAGCCATCTTGTTGTCTAGAATTGCAGGACTGTAAGTGCCGCTACATGTAATTGATATATTTTTAATCAATTATGAATGTTTATAACTATAACTGACACATGTAGCTACAAAAGAAAAAAAGGAAATCATGCTGCAGCGCACATTTGGACATGAATCGCACTAACATTCTGTTATTATAGGTATACATTAAGCCAAAACTCTTTGCCACAAACCCTTCCAGAGAGCTTGCCACATCATAATTTCTCTTTTTAAATAAAAAACGTCAGGAATCCTTGATCCTTACGGTCCATCTTTCCTAGCTTAAAAATTTTTAAATCGATTTCAATCTGTTAAAATTATCCCATGCTGTAGAAAAATCGGAAATTTCATCAAATGGCGCTAATTGCCAGAAAATTGGAAAAAAATATTTTTCAAACCTCCTTCCTTATCTTATAACATGCTACTTATATTAAAATTTATTTCCTTATTTGCAAAAAAATTTATTGTTATGTACAATCAACTAGAGTTAAAGAGATACATTGCACATAGATAATATTGAAAGATTGGATTTTTTCCGTCATTAGGTTTTCAAATATTCAAAATCAGAGGAGAAGAGGAAAAGTTAATTTTAGGTATCTACTATTATTATGGTAAGATTCTTCATACCGTTTTTTAATTTAACCCTCGATTTTTCCATTCACAGCAAATCGCAAAAGAAAATTACAGTGTAGCCTCTTGATTGCGTTTCTTTGGTGAAAATTTTTTCCTTATTGCTGATGTTCTGGGACTCAGCAATGAGATTAGCAGATAATCTCGAGTCAGTGACGGGGCTTAGGGTGGATACGAACGAAGTAGGTTCCCTTATCCGCTCAGGTGACTGATCCCCTATTTAAGATAAGCGATCTGCAAAATAGACACGTTAGAGGACTAGAGTTGAGTTCTCTTATGGTTCCTCCGACGATCAAGTCAGTATAGAGCTTGAGTGGGGAACCAATGAACTGAATAAACTCTGAAATGTGCAGGTGCCCTTCTCCCTATCAGTGAGCCATGAGCCTATATAAATACCCGACTAAGAGGGGTAGAAGCGTAACTCTGGTTGAGTCTAAGCAGATAGCTAAATCGGCAGTAGCTTGACAGGTGTCGACTGCCTATATGATGAGTCATCATTGTGTTAGCACCCTAGAGCGAGGTGAATAAGGTGAATGCTAATCTAATTCAATATTAATTCCAATTAAAACCTATTAATAAATATACCCTAACAAGATATACATTCTATTGAATTAAATCAAGGATATATATGCAAAGGGAAAATAAACAAGAAACGATATAAACAAAAAGTGGATATAATGAGCAATCCAAACACAATAATATGATCACAGAGTTCGGTCATTTCGACCTACGTCTCCGCTCCCCACTCTCGGAGAGAATCTACTAACACGACGGGTTTTCGACGTTCACCCAAAACGTTCACAATCAGTTTTCAACGCTTATTGACAAATGTTTACAACACGCACAACGTAAACACACTCTACACCCTCTAAGTGTTGGCCTAGCCCGTGTGCTCTTTCTCAAGTGCTCGGGTTTACAACATCTCTCTAGGCTTTATAACCGACGCCACTCCTCTTGGAATCGACCCCATCTCTCACCAACCACTCATCTTAGTGTACAAGTGTAATACAATGTGTAACTCATAATAAGGCTCAAATACAAGATTTGTTTTCTATAATATATGAGAACTCAATGTAAGCTCACTCTCACAATATCACAATCCCACAACACAATATATAATGTATGAAATACTAAAGGCTCAAATAGGGATGTGTGTGATAAAATGAGTATAAATAAAATCTAACTCAAAAAGAACTAGCAATAAAAGCTCAAATAGGGATGTGTGTGATAAAATGAGTATAAATAAAATCTAACTCAAAAAGAACTAGCAATAAAATAGATATGAAATTCAAGAATAAAATAAATAAAATCTAACTCAAAAAGAACTAGCAATAAAATAGATATGAAATTCAAGAATAAAATGCTAGACAATTGAGTTAGGAAAATTTCTCTATAAACACAAAGAGTAGATGATGAAAGATTAAGGATGAATTCCTCAATTGATAATGTAAGCTTTCTCTTTGTAAACAAACACCAAAACTTGAGAAGAAACAAACCTTTAAACCTTTTAAAACTCTTGTTAAAACACTCTTGGATAATATTTGAAGTGTAACAATAAGGGGTATTTATAGGATGAAAAAACCAAAGCCCAAAAACCAAGAAAACCCAGCAATAAGATAAGAAAACAGAAAGCTGAAAAAACTAGCTGTTGGGTCGTCAGTCGACTGATATTGTTCATCAGTCGACTGATGAACTAACCGTTACATGCAACTAGCAGCTCATCGGTCGACTGAAGACATCATCAGTCGACTGATTGTTTATTAGTGGCAAAAATAAAAACTTTTTGGTAATTCTGGGTGTTTTCATCAGTCGACTAATAAGGACCATCAGTCGTCTGATAACAGGTTTTTAGCCTATTATGAATAGTGAAAACGAATTTTAAACTTCTTTTAAAGATAGAAAATATAACGCCCCGTCCCGGAATCCCGGAGTCGGTGCGCTACTAGATCTGATGGACTGGCCTCACAAACCACCACATGTCTTTTCAGCACATTTTGTCCTCACTCATGCGCTTCCTGAAAAACTTCCCAGGGGGTCACCCATCCTAAAATTTCTCCAGGCCAAGCACGCTTAACTTTGGAGTTTCTAAGAATTGGGTTCCCGAAAAAAAGATGTATCTTGGTGGTATGAGTATTCCAATCAAATCTATCAATACTAATGATATCACCCTCTCAAGGGTTGGGGTATTACAAACTCCCCCACTTAAACTCGTAACGTCCTCGTTGCGCCAAATCATATCATCTAAGACCGTACCATCCATGTGAGATTCTAGAGGTGACTCCTACGGCCTTAAGAGGTGGCTCCCGCCCTCTCGACGTAGCACTTTGCGCCGCATAGCACTTAGCTCTCACAATTCCGGTTGGCTTTGCTCTAATACCAACTGTGACGCCCCTGGGTTTACACAAGACTATAGTCTAAGGTGAAACCAAGAATGTTAAACCTGCCATACACCACACCGTGTAATAACATGTTTCACCATCACAATTACTATCTCTCTAGTAGAGTCAATTAACAGGTGTAGGTACAAAAGTAAGTAAAAGATAATACAAGAGTCAACTGATGAAATAATAGAGATCAAATTAATATTTCATCATCTAACATACTGAAGTACAAGTCAATGTCTGAAATGAATAAACTGGAACATCTCAACAAGTCTCAAAATAAGGCACACAGCCTTTACAACTTCTAGAAATAAACTCTCAAAATGTCTAAACAAAAGCCTACAGTGGAGCTCAAAAGTAAAATATAAGTATAATAGAATAGCTGAAGCTAAAGTGCATCGCCATCAACCTGCGACTCTCCAGGCTCCTAGCTCGTTACCTGAAAGGGGGAGGGACAGCAAGCGTCAAAGCGCTAGCAAGCAACATCACAACCAACCCCAAAGAAAAGGGCTCGCTGTATACAGAAAATACAGTTATAACATATATATAAAATCACAAATCCTATTTAGGTAATTACAACGTGAGCATAAGTACGTCGAGCGAAATAATCCAAACAAGGAAACCCTCATGTATATACCATGTAGCTCAGATTGTAAATACCTATGT